GTGTGCGCGCGTGCGTGTGCGTGCGTGCGTGCGTGCGTGCGTGCGTGGGTGCGATTCTCCTGCTTCGAAGATGTGGCTGCTATCATTCATGGCCCCATTCATGACACAGGACACATCTTGCATAAACAAAGCGCGAGTCACGATGAAGTGCAGGTGATCGTGGATGTGGTCTTCTCTTCTCTGCAACATGAGCGGAGTGGACCTTCAACAACCGCTAGAAGACATGCGAGCACTCCGAGTCTTCAGAGTATGCAGCGACCTGCCTGAATACAAGCGGAACAGTTGCATTTGTGTAGCTCGGCGAATAGAAATACCTGGCGCTAGTTGGCGACAGGTTTTCATGCAGCTGCTGTGCCACGTAGCTTGCTTCCTGCACTGCAGACCGCAGAAGCGGGCAGCTATGCTAGCCGAGCACGCTTCAAACTGGACATCCGTGGAGTTGACGGTGTTGCTCATGGTGTCGAGAGCCTTTCAAAGGCTATCGTTCGCAAGCTTCGCATCACGAGACGCGCACGACTCGAAACTACATCACAAGTCTGCACGGCCTGTAGGTAAAGCCTTTGCGAAGCCTTGGTTAGGTGAAATGCTGGAAAAAGACGGAGCAGACGGAAGCTCTGAATCCGAGAGGCCCCGGTCCGAAGCTGCTCCAGAGGCTCCAGAAGACCACTGGTCTGAGTGCCTCAGAGCGTCAGAGCCGCGCCTCCGGTCTGCAAGCAGCCTCGGGGACCGGCTGGCTGGTCCTGGATGCACCAGAATCCGAAAAGGCCTGTGCCACTTGGAGTTTAACATTCGTATCGTGGTGCCACTCCGTGCTGATCTGCTCTCATGTGCATCGTGAACTCAGACCCCAACGCGCTTTCAAGTGGAGCTCCTCGCCAAAGGTTTGCACCCGGGATGATCCTGAGCATAGACTATATGGAGAAATCGAGGACGTCCGGCGGCATGCGGCACAAGTCTGCGAGGTCTGCTTCTTTAGACCACCCCTTGCCCTTGGACACGAAACGTTCCCGGTCGTCTTGGTTCTTAAGGGGCTTTCCGAGGCTGACACTGCTTCCGCTTCCCGGTGATGCCTCAGACGGGAGCAGCGATGAAAGCACTCCTGCCATGTCCAATGCCCGTAACTTTCGCCACGAAGTCGACAACGCATTTGCACAAGTCAACGAAAGCCATGTCCCAGGTTGGCGTGCGCGGGTTTGGAGAAACCCCGCAAATGTCTTGCACGGAAGCACTTGCCAAACCCTTCTGGCGAAATCTCCCCAAACTTCGCTTTCACGCCAGCGGTGGATACACTGCCCAGATGGTGAAAAATGCAGGAGGGCGTCTGGCCTTGAAACAAGTGTCGCCAGTGACGCGGCTCAGGCCCTCCTAAACCATAAGCAGCCTCAGGCCCCAACCCCTAAATATCCCTAAACCCTAAACCCTCTCGTGCCGGGCAGCTTCGCTTGCAATGCGCTTCGTGACCTCTCTCTGGTTTCGTTTGCAGTAGACGGGCTCGAAAAATGGCTTGCCCATGCCCTTTCTGGCGGGCTGAGAAAAACCTCGCGGCATCGAATCTCCCTGCCTTTTGCCCCAGGCAGCTTCATGCAGCCGTGTGGAATACCCCGACATAGGCCCCGAAAGGAACCTTGTACCTTTTGCTTTTGAGAAGAAGAGTCTTCAAACCACAAAGTGCGGCTTGCTTGACTTCTTTGACTTCAAACGGCTACAAGCCCTGCCCTTTATTTTCGAGGGACAGCCACACTCGTGAGAGAGCAATCTAGCTGAATCTACTTGTAGCTTCGTTAAGCCTCGGCTACGTACCCCAGTCCAGAGGAACGAAGGTCACATGCATGCAACGACTTGGTATCAGACCCCACATCAGCCGCAGCTGCGCATTGCCTTGCATCTCCTTCCACTCAACCTGGCATCGAAACACACGAAAGCAAAACAAAAACACTTCACTACTACACTCATAAGTCACTGCGGCATCTTCATGAATCTTCGGAGCTCCAGCGACCTTGATGGAGTAGAACCTGTCTTTCTCCAGCAGCTGGCGAGTCCAAAGCTCAGGACCTCAGAAACGTGGGTAAAGCTTCCGACTGGGCCCTGCTGCGAGCGCTGAGACGCTTGCAACATGGAACGGAAGAGTCCCAGTAGTCGACGACCAAATGACCTGGCTGCGGAACTGAATGAAAACCCTGTGGAATCGTCGCTGTGCAAAGTAGCCACGAGACATGAAGATCGATAATCAGAACAACATGTCCCATGGCCTTGAAACCAAACGCGAACACTATCATCTGCCTCAGATTCACAGGCTTCCACACGCTTGCATGCTCATTCACCGACGTATGAGCCCGAACACCTTGACGTAGATGGTGTATTCGTCTGTCGTAGGGCCCAGAAGGAAGCCCACCCACCTGTCTAGCACTGGCATGCATATCAACGACCCGTGCGCAGTCAACGGAAGCATGCACAAGGTTATCGACAGCACCGTAAGGATCTGGAAACTCCGCGACAGACGAAGCATCCTGCAACAGCAGTGGCCTGGCAGTGATGTGATCTCCGGCTAGAGCAGTGACCTGCAATTCACCCGGGACGTGTCCGAAACACCCCAAACGAATCGGCGCCAAGTGAATCACCTCGTTGTGGCCCCACCTCAATCATCAGAAACGAACGTACTATTGAGTACTATTGTTACTATTGAACTGCTACTGTCGGAGACTGCTCTGATGCACCAGGAACTTTCCTGCCGCCAAGTCGCTCAAAGCTGATAGTCTCATCGACTTTGGAGAGGACCGGCCTCAAAGCTCGTAGGTTCAAACCCAGAGTTCAACGACAGGCGAAACGCGGCAGCCTTCGGCCCGAAGGCAAGAGGTCTTCACTTAAAGCAAGCACACTGAGTCAGTGACAGTCCGTAAAACCAGGCATTATCCCAGTACCTGCCACCGATTCGCATGAAAGCGTCACAAGACAACATTCGGCTCAAACATGTAGGCCGCACTGACCCCAGAGGCCTTGGCAGAGGAATGTTCCACAGTCGGCACAGTTTCAGCGCTGCTCGCAACCGCAACAAGAACAGAAGCTCCTTGGAACCCTGCGGAGCGGAATGCGCTGAAGAGATGTTACCCCCACAGACAGTTCATCTGATCACAAGAAGCTGAGCTGGGTATATTACCATTGGCGAAGATCGCGTACACCATCAAGGAATAGATGCCCGTCTTGTTGCCGGTGTAGTTCAGGCCTCGATAAAGCTTGCGCATGTGCCAGCTTTTCTACAGCGAAACAGTCCTCTTGACCGACCGGAGGGATCATGTCATGTTAGAGGTGCAGTACAGGGTTTGACGACCCTGATCCACCGAACTGCAAAACTGAAAGAAGCTCCGTGGCCAGCCGAAGCTGAGCTGAAGGCTGTAGGTCCCGTCACCGTTCGGAACTGTGGCATAGCAGCAGTCAGGGACCCTCGCAAGCAGAGAGGATCAGACTGACTCTCTCTACGATACGGTTGCCTTTTCGGTATCAACACCGCTCCAGAGTGTCTCTGAGATCCGCTCTGGTTCAGGCGCTGTCGATGATCCTGCTGCGAGACTGCTGGCACCCAGGCTCAGAAGGCTAAAAGGCTATCGAAGGCCAAAAGGGGCAAAAGTGCTAAAATGCTAAAAGGCCAGGCCTGGTAGTCCGGATGCTGCTCGGGAACTGGGAGGCACAACGTGCGCTCGGAGTTCAGCTCGCAGGCCTCGGTTTCACAGTCCGAGACGACCCACAGAGCTTGAAGACGCTTTGGAGTCATCAACTTCATCTGGGCTAAAACAAGTGTTCCAGCTCATGTGCGCGCAGGGTCAGCAAGGCTCAAGCGGCATTCAAAGGAGGCCGAGCCCTGCGCGTCGTGTATCGCAGCCAAGTAGTTGCGATGAGTGCTATCCACCTACACGACAAGCAACATCAGAAGGCAGCTTGATGGAAACGCCTAATCCGGATTGGACAGGGCCGACATGATGGTGGAAATTCCGGCCTCGAACCACTCGGTCACAGGGTTCTTTGCACGGATGGTCAAGTCCGTCCTCGAGCAGCTTCGACTTTTTAACCAGGCAACCTTGAGCCTCTGCCTTCCTAACGCTCACAGAAACACGATGCAACGCCGCCCACCCAGTGCAAACTGATGCAAACTGCGTTGTGATCATCACGATGCCTCGCTCCTACGTTTGAGACTGCCTCCCAAGCCGGCGTCCCCAGTCTTGGCTCCAGGCGGGACATCAGCAATGATGAAGTCTGGAATTGGATCTCGCGAGATGGATGGATCGGTGGAAAGTGGGTAGAAGAAGGTTTTCCTCGGCCAACGGAACTCAACGAAACGTAGCAGCAGCAGCAGCAGCAGCAGCAGCAAGGCAGCAGGCGGCATTGGGCTTTGGTGAAGTCTTGTCGGATGAGCATGACACACGATCGATATGTTCGAGGCGCAGGCTCGAGTGGCACCGCTACCGTGTAGGCCTAGGCTGCGAACAGTGCATACTCTCGCACACGTCATCGATGCAAACCCCAACCTCCATGGTGTAAGCACTCTAGCACATGAAAATGCGAAAGAAGCGCCATGCAACGAGCAGCTTTAGGAGCCGACAGTCGAGATGGGCTGGCTACGGCCAATTGCATTGATTGCATACCTCGTCTGCAGTTGGGCAGTTGAAGTTAAATTAAAAATTCCTATGTCACGCTCTGAGCTTGCTTCTAGGTCCGGGGGCCACGCACGTTGTAAAAGTAGGTCGTGCCGTAGGTAAGATTCGAAAGCACCAAACTCGGCGAAAGCGACATCGCTCGCAACTCTACGAAAGACCCCTGATCGTCCAGCGCTCCAGAGCAAGGTGCAAGCAATGAACGAAGTGAATTCAAGACAAAATCTGATACTCATCTCAGACATAGGTTAACGCTGCTAACTCTGAGATCTGAACTGCTTGACGCTTGGATCTTGCTGGCCGTCGTAGATCATCTGCCACCCAGGTTGGGAGTCTGTCTCCTGTCGAAATGCACCCGTTCTAGCTTTTTCTGCATGTCAAGGACGCACCGGCACTGTTGCTCAGGGCTCGCCATCTCAACTTGGTAACCCAGGATAGCGCTGCCACCCGTGTTTGGCTCCTGACGAAGCCCACGCCAACCGAGTCATGCAGAGGTTTGCTTTGCACAGGGTGGAGATCGACATGCTGCCTCCCAGGACAACCGAATCACGATGGAGCCAAGAGACGTCGTCTCAGGAATTGCCTCTGAGAAGCAGTTAACACAGTAAGTCCACAAATGGGAAAAACCGTATGCGTGAAGTCACACATGCATTAAGCTTTTGACCAACTGCCAATCTGGTAGACCAGCGGTCACGAAGGTGATGGGATGGCTTCCTGTAAAGAGACATATCGAGGCAGCACAGAGTGTCCTGAGAAGCAACTGTGTCGCGGACGAGGGCCATGAAATTCGAAGACCTGACCCGTCACGCCATCCCTGGCAGGCAGGATCACTGCATGCTGGAAGAGAGTGATCGAAAGAAGCCCCGAGCTTCTGCTTTTGAACTCCTTTCCCGCCCTACACCAAAGACTCTTGAAGCGCAGTGTTGGTGGTAAAAGACGACAAGACCAGTAACGTTGTCCGATTTGCTCCGGGGCCCTTGCGTGACCTTTCGGACGGAATGCATGGTGAACATGTAGCGCGCATCCACTTTCAAGCCTCCGTCCCACGAGTCTAAGACTCTTTGTGCGACACGTACTCGTGTGGTCGCTCGCAGCGGGTGGACACCACAACCACCAGGAGCAGATCCTGCCCGAACGATCTGAGAGGCTGGCTGGCCAGCTTGACCAAAGTGACCTGAGTCCATCTTCGACGGTCATCTAAGTCGTGTCAGACAGATACACTTGCTGAACAACTGATGGGGTTGTGCTGTGCAGCAACATCGTGAAAACGGCACCCTGGACAACATCGCCGAGGTTCGCACACAGGAGCCTTTGAAGCAGGATATCGACGGCTCCGTCTCGTCTGCATCGTTTCGGAACACCTGCTTTTCTGCTGGGGCATGGCATCATTCACGACACTTGTACAACTTGTCCAAACAGGCCGAAGACAAGAAGGAACCCTCATGAGTCATGATGAGTCGGCCGTCGTGGTCGAAACTATTAAGCCACTGCTAAGCCTTATCTATCAATTCCTCGAATGTGCATTCTATGCCATAGGTGCACACGCATGCATGCATACATACGTACATACAAGCGCATGCCATGCCATGCCATGCCATGCCATGCCATGCCAGGCCATGCCAGGATCACACAAGACGAGACAAGAAAAGACAAGACAGGACAGTAAAATACAATGCGGTACCTTGCGGTTCAACACATACACACATCTAATCTACACATACAAGTTCACATCCATCTGTACGTAAGTGCTTGCATGCATGCAGACACCCAAAGGCACATGCACGCGTATACGCATGAACACAAGCGGGGGGCAGATCTGAATGAATAAATGAATGAATGCATGCGCACGAAGCACTCCTTCCCTTAACACTGCACTCACACGAGGTTTTTTTGCAAGCGCAGGGCCCAAAGTTGGTCCCGTTTGCTCCGACCCGCAGAGCAGCGCTTTAGGGGTTTGCGGGTAGGCTGGGCTTATTAACAACCACTGTCCAAGAGGCTCTATTTTTGGCAATATTCAAAACCTTGCGGTAAAGCGGGGTGTTATCCATCCACACAATGGAGTGCGAGGAATGAATTGTTCGTATGTCCGAGGCACTTGGAAAGGAAAAAAACTCGTGGTCTATGTACGAGTGCGAAGTGGCACATCAGAGCGGAGGTGATCTATTCTTTGAGCCGAGGGCATGAAGTAGCCTGGGTTCCTAGGGAGTCTGGGTGCCGATACAAATGTCCTCAAAGAGTGAGGCGATTTTGAGAGTAGACTTGAGAAGGAGAAATTACTCTTCGAGAGGAGACAGCCCAGTCTGCTAAGTATTGGCTGGAAAACTTAGTGGCTCCCTATGATAATACGAGGATTTGATTTTGAAGATCCTACGTACACAAATGAAGTGAATAGTTCATCTTGGTGAGCTGAGAAGGCGTAAGAAGTACACTAGCCATTGGGTACATCAGAATAGACTGGACAACCGACCTTGTCTGCAGACGAGGAGTTTCCAATGGGGGGAAGAAGTCCATGCTTCATCCAAGGATAACTTTTTTTGAGGCTTCCATCATAACTCTGGAAAGTATGGTAGATACATGTTCACGGATATTGGAACGGTGGTCGAGGTAAACCGCGAGATACTTCACAACTTCACAGCAGGGGCACTTCCACTCGCACGAGTACGACTCACCGACATACAGGACTGCGGGCAAATACTGTAAGCTCGAAGTGACCTTCGTAGCATCCTTTCATCACCAGTCGTACTGTTCTGTGACCTGCAGAATGCCCTCCGACAGCTGCTGGCTGCTAAAAACCGCGTCCTCGAAAGTGCAAAGGGCCAAATGCCGAGTAGATTCCAGCCTCGATTTCTACAAGTTCAGAGATTGAACTTTCAACTTTTCTCTTCAAGCGAGTATGCTAATTCAGGTCAAGTCCATCAGGAGCTTGGCATCACGTGACCGTACGAGAGGCTCAGTTTCGCCTCGAAGCCGACGAAGAGTTTTGTGGAAAGATCGGAAAACACAGTCGTTGAGATGATTCAAGCATTGCAGGCAATGCCTACTTGCATGCTCAAGCTGTGGACGGACAGCACTTCACCCTGCAAGTCAAGCAGTCGCTGAATCCGACAGCTCAGACCCTTCGCCATCAGGTCGGGCTCTCGGGCTCAGTGCCGGCGAAGGACGGCGGCGGGGAAAACGCGAATGGAATTGTACAGATAGGTGTGAGGCTCCTGCTGAGGCTATTGCTGCTTTCGCGCTCTTGAAGACAAAAGTCCTTGTAGGTGTTGTGCAGGTTTCGGTGTTGTGATTTCGGTGATATCCCTTAGCTGTAGCGGGTGTTGGTCGCTTGCCAACGTTTGCTGGTGTGGCGGGGGCGATAGTTAAGTTGCTGGGAGGTTAGAGACGAATCATGCTCAATCAAATTATGCGCGAGTGAGAATTATTCTAAAAGCTTTTAACAGCCCATCAAACTGCACATGCCAGCATCTCCACAAGCACGCGACACACATAACACACGACATCAGCCCTGCACCTCGCACTCTGCTTGGAGATCCACTGTCTCCAAGACCTTGGCAGCGATCTCGTTCTAAGCCGAACTGTTGATTCTAGAGTTCAAACGCAAGCATCTCTAAGCTCAGCTCAAGCTCCAGTTCCAGGTAACCTGGAAAACCGGGACGACGGTTTTCGGATCTGTGTTTCTGCAACAGCAACAGAGGTTCGGAGGACCCGCGCCATGCCCTGCCTGCAGAGGAGGTCACCCGTGCAGGTGGCTTTGCCTGAGCTACCATGCGAGTCTTCCCTTGCTGCGCAACGTGCTGTCGCTGAGTCTGCGGACCCGTGGGATGTTCGGGATCGCCACGCTGTCCGGCACAGGGTTGCCAAAGGCATCGACCTGGAGCCAGATGCTGAAAAGATCTGACACGGGACGAATGTCTGGTCTCTCAAAGGCCGGGGTGATGGCAGGAGATGCGGTTCGCCGCTGGACGGCACTCAGAGGGGCCTCCACAGGCCAGGATTTACAAAGTGGCCGCGAAGAGCTAAGAAGATCCGTCAAATTGGCCCCTATGCCTGCACCACGGATCGCTGCTTCTCAAACTGGCCCTGCACCTGCCAGAAACAGAAAGACTAGGTTTGTCAGGCAACTCGGGAACCACTCACAGGCCGTTGCTTTCAGTTGAATAGGGCTGAAGCAGTCTGCAGTCTCACCACTCGGCTCTTACACCCCAAAATATAATCGTTCGGAGAACGACTGCAAATGCTCAGGCGGTGCAAGCGTTCCCAAGGTGCCTGCACGAATAACCAGAGCAGAAGCCCCGCGCAACGCATCGGAGCGCGCGGGGCCTCCGAACTCTTTGCACACATTCAATACCACTGGTCACGTTTGTGGACATGACTGAGGTCCGCACGGCTGTGGGCTCATCAGCGCAGCCCCATCATGTCTCTGAATGGCTCAAACAGCTCGCAGCAATAAAGTCGACGCATTCAGACCCGCGTCAACTGCGCTTCAAAGCAGGGCTGCAGGCCGCCGCACAGATGCTCTGTGCATTGAGTCGCAAGACGAAGCAATCGAAGCAGCATGACTTGTCTTCCGCACCTTCCTCTGACATTGCAAGACGTTTCGGGTCACGTGAACTTGACGGCTACGGAGTCGATTCGTTGCTACACGCGAGAACCGGCACCACCCCCTCTGAGTGCTGCAGCGAATTCGCTGACACGCTCTGTGGGCAGGAAAAATCCACTGAGACGTTCGGAATGGTAACGACTCTGCCTGAGCGCAGCTGTCGCAAACAGCCGTTGCTAGCGGCGTGAGGCTGCGCAGACTAGACCCTAGATTCGCAAGCATGCTCTCTCTGTGGATGATCATGGAGGATCACTTTACGACTTTACGACCTGCCCGGCTTGGAATCACCGACTGAAACTACGTGTACAAGAAAAAACCCAGCATTAAGATCAAACACCTGCATCCACCCCAAAAGCTCAGCGGCATAAGAACCTCTGGCATTTCGATCTGCCGCTGCGGCCCAAAATATTTATCCTGACAGCTCCAGAGCGAAGGCTGACATGGCTTGCCCTCGGTTCATCGAGAATTGTCGTCGAGAAGCATGGCTGCGGAGGACGATGTAAGTAACAGGCCTGCCTCGGTCGCTGTCGGGCTCTGCTCACGTTTGCACCACAACTGTTGGCTTTTGTTCTTGCCGCGATGCGATGCAGACCGAACCACCATGTGATCGCGGCCAGACATATGCAAAAAAGCACCTCACATCTTGGATTCGAACCCGGATCGGAACAGCCTGTCACAAAATGCAAGGCCGCACAACTCGGCTCCTTCTTGCTTGCAGGGCTTTGGGGGTCTCCAAGGAAAAGATCTGCCAAGTGGCCAGGAAGTAGATCCTCCAGAAGCAGCTCAGAGCTCTCCTTGAGTCATTGAGTCATTGGAGGGAGAAAAGGGATTAAAGGGCTGTGAGCTGAGGATCATGTAGTGGCTGAGCAGTGCCGTTCCAATCTCCAGCATGCCCTTGGAGCGTTCGCCTGATATCGGGACCACCAAAGCTCTGTACGACGGGGTGCAGGCAGTGCAGGCTGTATGGACTCTCTGCCATCTCTGCCCAGCCACGCACATACGAAGCTGCTCGTGTCGCCGTGTCCTGAATGCAAGGGGCCGGAAAGTCAAGTCGACTGACGGGGCCGTCACTGCAGTGAACTACATCATGCTGAATCAAGCAGTCCTGCAGCTCCTGCAGCTGCCGCTGCGTTCCGGGGTCTTGATCCATCTTCTTTCGAGCTACTACCACTGCCGAGACAGATGGGAACAACATCGACAACAGCTCCTGGGTGTCTGGGCAGGTTTATGCAGGTTTGGAAGATGACATCATTCACGCAGAGCAAGGGTCAGTCAGAGTCAGAAATCATCCGAGCGGCCAAAGCGGGAACCACCTCGTCTGACCGTTCAAAATAGAGATGAGCTTCGCTGTGGCCCGCCAAGCGCCCTGAGGAAGCGCAACACTTGCCACAGCTACACCCAGCCGCTTGCACCCGGTGATCCTGAAAGTTTCCGCTGAAAGGCTGGAATCCGAGAAAGCGAAGTGGCTTATTGCGCAACCCAGTCTTACGGGCGAACATTCAATACAAAATGGACCTCGTCTGGCAGGTTTGAGCAACTTGCGTTTTCAGTGCGAGGTTGCTGCTGGGCTCTCCGGGTCTTATGTGTCCAAAGATTAGGGCCCTACAGTAGGGACTATGACTAGGACCTTGTGTTTGAAAGCAAAAGGTTGCCAGGTCCGGCCAGGAGACCTGCGTCTGCCAACACCCGGTTGCTCAAGTGCAGGAGTCCTTAGGAAGCACCAGCCGTTCGCAGCTGTCCGCGATCTGTTAAACAGTTAAACCACTTTTGACTTGTTTGTTAGTGTTCACATGGGAGGCTTAAAGACAATCGTGCTTCATGCACAGCCAACAGCGGTCCAGCATCGACTCTCCAACAACTCCTTCCCATCGGTGCTGTCAACAGCCTCCTTTACGGTCGCCACGATTGCTGCAGGAAGTTGAGACTTCATTTCCTCACTTGCGAGTTTGACAGCGCGTCTTAGACTTCCACCTCACCTACCATCACGGTTCGCATTTGCATGCAGATGCTCGTACAAGGACAAAGCTCTATGTCTTGTGACCTGTCTGACCGGAAACACCGCACAACGAGAGCGATAAAGCAGGATGAGCCGAGCCCTGGCGACTGAATCACGACTGGCTTCCCGAGAGTTGTCAATGGATTCCAGGACGGCAAACACAGAGCTCGCGAGTTTGCCTGCAACACGTTTCGGAAAAATTAAGTTGCCTCAACCCCGCACTCTTGCCATCTGCAATGCTAGGCCGCTTAGCAAGCGGCTGATTGCGAGCGCACGCCCAGTAACATTCGAGCCACCACAGCTGCAGCATGCCTCCCGTGGAGACAGATTCCTCGACACCAGGCAAAAAAAAAACACACACATGTTTTGTCCGTGTTCGTCAACCTGTACTGACTTATGTATGCAAGTCTCAGATCAGAATCTCGCCGCTCATCCAGATTGTCCGTGCGCTCTTCCACACTGCGCAGATCATGGCAAGACATCAGCCATCCCGGCCTTGCTGAATATTTCGCAGAACTGCTGCCACAAGTCCGGCCGAAAAACATAATAAACAACTCCTGTCAGGCAAGACTAAAGCGCTGCAATGCAGATGGCTGGACGCACAATCCATGGCAGGAACCACGCAATGGACATGCCTTCAGGTTTGGACTTTGGCACCTGCCTAAACCCTAAACCCCAAGCCCAAGCCCTGAACCCTGAGCCTTCTAAGTTCTAAGCTTAGCCAGCCGAACGTCGAAATCTGTTGGATACCGAAGGTACCCAATTCGCATCACTTCAGCGCGGTCAAGCGGCTCTGAGTATTTCTCACAATCATTGCCCTCCACGTCTCTCCACGGCGTAAAGCTCTGGCACTCGTCTTGCAGGGAAGTGGCGCAATCGTGTCACAGTGTCACTGGCTACACCTACGAGCTCCTTGCAGCATCAGACTCAGGACGCAAGGCATGTCATCCGGAAAGCCGATGCCTTCACCAGGTGGCCTCCCGACGCAGATGCAAAAGCAACCCACGCTACTCGCTGCTGCAATTGAACTGGCGTACTGCGTGTCTCAACATGCCTTAACGCCGGTGCAGACCCTAGACCTCGCCTGCTGAACCCGCGGCTGTCCTCTGATATGTTGAACGTCGCTAATGTCGCCAACGAAGATGGATCTGCAGACGTTGGTATGCACGGGCAACTGAGAGGGATGAGTACGCAATAGGTGGTTTCGGGGTGATGCCGAGCATTCCTCCCGGCTCGGCTTTCAAGCAGGTGCCGACTCTTCTAAACCCTCATCGTATCTTGGGATATCAGATCCCAGAGCCAGGCATGAAGTCCCACGAGTGGTAATCTTGACTCCAAACAAAGTTGAACCGTAACCGTCGTTCACCCACCTGCCTCCCTCTCCCGAGTACCCACGTGTCAACTTTTCTTGTTGACGGATGCTGTTTGGGTCATTCGCTACAGCCAGGTGCCATCGCCCAAAACCTGGGGGGACCTTGACGCCGGATGTCTTCACGGCGCACCTCTCCCAAATTGTTAATGAGTGATCGTTGCAAGCTGGTGACGGATGATCGTTGGGTGCAGATCGACGCCAGAGCCGATGCGATGCCAGAACTTTCTCGCAGATTCTCGCAGGGTGGATCAGCTACCGCATGAATGTTTTTAATTACGATTAACCGCAGTCAACCACGCGCCGTGTCCAGGAAGGATTTCGGCATCAACTCATGAGCTATGGCATACTGTGGCTTGGGTGCAGCTCTTTGGCATGGCTGATCAACAGTCAACCTTCGGAAAAGATGCGTGCTCGCTTTGGATGACCTGTACACGAGTGGACGAGGAACCATCGGCCACCCTCACGGGGTGAACATGTTGGTCGGGACTGTGGCGGACAAGATGCAAATCGCCTGCCCTTCGAGTCGGTGCAGGCCCCCACCATCAACAAAGACGTCAGCACAGGATCGACAGGCAACAAATATCGTGGCAGGTGAGACAAAGGCACAGGACGGAGAAGAAACACTTGAATTCGCCCCCTGCGCCATGGGAAGCTGTGGCCTGTAATCGCAACTCAAAATGAAAATGTTGCGTTTCTCATACTCAGCAGAACGGGTTGCCTGGCTGCAGGAAGCTCACGTGCTCATATCGTTTGTTCTTGTAGCCTCGTCAACCAAACATGGAAAGTTGTCGGAGATGTGCAGTCGAAACACATGGAACATGCTCAACTTTCGGTTGTGCTAGCAATGAGACACAGAGCTTTGGCCAGGTCACCTGCACGTACCCCTGCTTCCGCCCACGTCTGGGGAGAATTTTCTTGTGGACTGGGCCTGAATCGCTTGATGGCCTGGCTGTGGCTTCTCTGGCAACGGCAACAAGAACACTTAAGGGCTTCAGCCCGAGCGACATCTGACGCAAGGTGCAGGGGCTTTGCAAGAGAATGTTTACCTCAGGTCGCAATCAGCATCCGATAGCAAACTGCGGATGAGTCACAGGATCCAGCACGGAAATATGTGAGGATGTGCATCAAGCTCTGAGAGGGACTTGGCTATGCTAGCCGGGCTGCAGACCGGGAGATTCCGACAAGAGCCACCAACCAGCCACAGCGTGTGCTCAATTGGCAGCAAGATGACCAGGTCGTGAACGATGTCCAGAACGTTGGGAGACATCTCAAACAGGACCAAGGTACCTGGTCTCCAAGCCGCATGCATTCATGCTTACGTGTGGGGTGAAGATTTCAACGAAACAAAGCAGCAAGTTGTCTACAATTAACAGTGTACAATGCCCTGGCTCTGTGTGTGCATGTGCGACGGTTGTGTTTTTAAGCAAAATCTTATTATTTGCCGGTAAAAACCTAAACTATGCGAAGATGAGCTGTTGTCATATAGTGATGAATGTCAGATATCCGCAGGAAACTTCACACAAAAACACACGACGCCATGCAAAATTTACCTGTTGCACCGGGGGCCGGAGGCGCTCGCATCATTCGCCCCGGCCCAAATCGACACAAGCGAGTTGAATTTGGAGATGCTTGACGAAATTGCTGCTCAAAACCGAAAATGCGGCTGCAATAGCTCTGATAAGCTTACTGGGCCTCCCTGCCGTCAGGCAGGCTTGCTTCCACGCCCAAAACGCTGCAGAAATGGCTTGTAAGGCGCCACGATGTAGCACTGGCAATCTGAGTGGCTCTCAGTCCTCATCACAAAGAGACGCTATGTAATCCTTAGCCGTTTGAACCTGGGGGTACCGAGCCACTCGTGCCCAGCCTCTTGGGAGCTCTCCAGCCAGCGGAGACACTGGACACAGTCCATGACCGTTGACGCGGCGGTTTTATCCAGTGTTCTGCTGGGTGTTGGATCCATTGAATCGACACTTATCGGATTCGTCGAGGGCAGGGGCAAAAATAAGTTCTTCCGGGCGGCCGGGCGACGGTCACAGTGTGCCGCGGCTTGTTTCTCGGAGCAAGGGCCAATGACCATGCCATGGGGGACTTGCTCAAGGAAAGTGTTCCTAATCTGAGTCCTGAAGATTTCAGCAGAGGAGTGGTTTTCATGCCCCTCCGGTGGGATCACACTGGTCACTACTTCACCTCGAGACTCACATTTTAAGCGGCCAAACGACACACTCCATGTCTGAAAGGTGGGGCCACCTCCGAGACATTATTGGCCACTAAACATCAGAACATGATCTTTCAGCAGCGACAGGTGCTTGAGGGTCGAAACCCAGAATGTGGTGGGGGAGGTTGGGGGCAGCCCAGATCAGCCTAGTGCAGGACCGAATCCAGTGCGGATGCTTCATCCCACCCTGCGAAAGGCAAGATCAGTGCCTCTTCCGGGAGTCCATCAATGTCCCCACCCTTGGTCCACCCAAGGCGACAAGAGACCGCTGGGGAGGATGAGCGAAGCTCTGTCCCTCCGGAAAGACCGTATCACTTGCGCAGGCAGTTTCCGGAGTGTGCTTACTGGCGGAGCATCGCAGATCCAGCCGTCCTTCATGACGGGGCGGCTGTGGGAACGTCCACAGTTGCCTGCACACTGCTTCTTGGCATGGTAGTCACGGTAACAGGGAGAGCCGCGAGGGATATTGCAGTGAGCGAGGCCGAGGACCGACCGTGCCAACCCCGGCCTTGTGGTGCTGCACTCCACAGCCAGCATGTTCTCCTCGGTTTCCTACAGGACCCCCGACACCTGCGCAAGGACAACTTCCGGCGCGTGCCTGGTGTCTCCATCACCACGTCCTTGGGTTTCAATGGCATCCATAAAAGCATGCCCTGGTCCCCAACACCAGCTTTCTGCACAGTGGCCGACTCACCGGTCACCGGCTTCTCCCCTTTCAGCACGAGGTTTGCCACTGCATCTGCTTGAGCCTTGAGCTTCTCGGCAAGCGGGGCCGTGTCCATCTCCACAGTGGCAGTGGAAGCGGTCTTCATGGGCTTGCTCATTGTGCATAACGGTCGCCCGGGCCACAACGGCTTCATCATGGATCTGCTCTCATTCCTTGTCAGAATCCGGTTCTTCCGTGTCAATCGCCAAAGTCACAATCTCAGGGGTCATGCTGGCAGCCATGCGATCTGCGGAGGAAGAAGCCATAGCGGCACCGCATGAAAGAGGGGAGCGAAAGAGCGATGAAAATTTCCAAGGACCCACAGTGCGAAATCTCGAGCAAAATGGCAGAGCCATTTTGGCAGANNCTCCTGACATAACTCTTGCGACTCGGCAAGCTCCTACTAGTAGCAAGTCGTAATACCATTATTTTTTAATTGTTCAAATGCTGTATTATGGAGTTCTAAAGCTGTTCCCAGTGATCAAATCTCCAGAGCACAACAGTCTTTGCTGAATATGAACTTGATTAACAGCTGCCAAGCTACACCACACGAGGCCCAGCACAGGTAGAAGGAGCTCAGGGCAAAGCAAGGAGCAGGCAAGATGTGTCTGTGACCATAATTGCCCAACGGCTTTCAGCCAACATGTGTCAATCGCAGGCCTGGCGGAACTTCGGAACCACCCGCTTGGCTTCGTAACCTTGTTGCCAGACCGTGTGTGGTCGTGCGCTGCAACACGCCAAAGCAGGTTCGTGCCTCGAACGACATCTCGGTCGAACGATTCTTGTTTCCAACTGGCGCAGGCCTTGGCAATCCGACTCTGATGCCACAGGACGTTGATCGCACCACTTTGGCGACAGTGCAATGTTGAATACTATTGTATGCAACCACAATCATGCTGCCGCGTGTAAATGCGTGCGTCGCTCACGACTTGCGTGAAAATCTTCGGATACGGCTTCAAAACGGGAAAAGGCGTGCACAATAACTCTGCCGATCCCTGCCGTTTGTGTACCCACCTCTGCTTGTCGCATCTGACGACCGACACGACAGTTGCTATGACAATCGATGTGATCCTAACATGTCGTCCTGCTCACAACGATGTTACGTGCCATCAACACGCTGCCTTAGGGCTCCCAGCATCGCCCCAGTTCAACGTCTGCTGCAAGCAACGCAGAATGAGCATGAATGAGCCCGAGCGGCGCTTGAGAAGCCAACGTGCTTGAAGTCCAGTCGTGCAACGCGGCTTTCCGTGAGAATCACTCGCCTCAATGAGTTTGAAAAGGGCGCTCTCCAGCCACCGCAACTCGCGAGTTGCAAGCAGCTGCAAGCAGGGATCGTGCCAGTGACCACAACTTCATTGTCCACAAGCAAAGGCGACAGCTGCCAGGGAGCCTCGCACGGCGAGATGACGTCATGTTGCCGCCTGGAAGCCTTCTACCTCTACATTCAGAGACAGCATAACCACCGGCGACAGCAAGAGTCTAAGCGGGGCAAGAACGTTTAAAGACCACGCTTCACTCCGACAGCATCGAAAGGCTTCGCTACCGTATTGGCAATGATGCTGGACCTGCTCATCTGCACTGTCCAAGTGTACAGCTGCTGCCGAGAGTCAAAATGGGCACGGTGGTAAAAGTGGTGTTCCTCTGCAGGACCTGACACAGAAGTCTTCGAGAGCAAGCCTCCCAGCTATCTACATTCTTGCAAGGCACCGAGCAGGTGATGCGAGTCCCCTCCCTCCGGACTCTTCAACAGCCTTAGCTGTGGCACACGCGCTGATAAACCTGCAGATCTAGTCGAAGAAAAAGCCGAGGCACCCCTTCGATTGCAAACAGATGCCCTGCAGCATTCCACATATGAAGTTACGCAGACATGGATTCCCAGCCCACGGAATGGCCTAGAAGTTGCTAGAGCCAGGGTCGCAACGAACACTTTCCATGCACTGAGGACCCAAATGCACTGAGGATCTGTAGGACGAGCTCCTAAAGGCGGACATGTTCAATCATGATCCTGTGCTGCGCTGCAGTAAGGCTGGCATGGAACTCCGCACTCTCCACCAGGGAATGGAACAACAGAGCTCTGGTTTTCGCGCTCTGGTTGCACTTTGTGGGTCTAGTCACGAGTCTAGTCAGCTATGGCACGCGTGCCGTCTCTCATGGACCTGGGTTCAACCTCACACTCAACAAAAAAGACATCTTAGCACATTGCGTCACCCACAACGAGTTGTTGCAGGTTGACCAGCCCCACGAGAAATCGACATCACATGGCATTTTGCGGAGAGCACACGCGCGTGGAAAATTGCAGTGGGATCCCTTCAGCATGCTTCTCTACGCCTCTGCGTGAGATGGCTTTTGCGAGGGGTTGAAGTCACGTCTGCGGCAACGACACCTGGCATGGCGCATCTTACCCGGCTCTACTTTGCATTTCCGACACATACCAAGCCTGCCAACTCGCGTACTTGGGGCAGCCAATCAGCTAATCTCAATGCACAGCTCCATAAACTGTAGTCTTCGCGTCTGGATCTCAATGTGACATGTCTAACCTGCTGTTCAAGTACCACGCACCAGGAGCGTCTCGACCGCATGCGAACATATCCGAACACCCCCCCCCGTCTTCCTTACCGGCTCTGCGCCTCACAGCTTCGACGCTGGCGCCTCCTTATCGGCCGCCAGGCCGCCACCGGAGAGTTCCTTCAAGTCCTCGGCATGGCCAGATAAAGAGTGATATGCGTGACTTCTCTTGTCTTGCTGTCGAATGTCCATGCTCTTGGTCTTGTCGCCGAGCATGTACTTGGCAGCGGCCTTTCCGGCCACGCGGCCGAAGACCACGCAGTCCAGCAGGGAGTTGCCACCCAGGCGGTTATTGCCGTGCACGCCGCCGGCCACCTCGCCAGCAGCGTAGAGGCCTGGGATGGCCTTGCCGGATGCGTCCACGCAAGCAGAGTCGGTGTCAATCTCCAGGCCACCCATGCCTGTCACGGTCGCGTGGTTTAGAATCCCGATTGAAGAACGGGTAGTGCGACTAAGACGGCAGAATGGCAAGTCTAAACACTGTAGCTATCATAGACGACTGTCGCCAAGATGCAATAATGAATCACAGGAGTGATGATGGCCACCTGCCATGTCAGACTGTCACGTCTCACCGTTGCTGTGTCGAGTATGCAACATTAGGCGAGCGCAGAGCGGAAACCATGCTGT